GACGCGTTTTGTCTATTAGGGATTCATCGGATTAAATTTGTTACGTTGGTTCGACTACACATGCGCACAAACGAGGGATGCTGGGAATTTTAAATTTATTTTAGTTTTTTTTGTATACAATCTAGCCGATTACATTTAGATTTTTTTTTTATATTATATACAAAAAACGTATTTGATATGTAATAATAATTTTGAAATAATTTAAGAAATTCTATTACATTTATTTGATTTAATAAGAAATATAGTCTATTAGTAATTAAGTGTAAAAATAATATTTTATAGTTGTAGTTATTCTAACCCAAACACACCTTTCAGAAAGAATCTTTAAGTATACAAGTACGATTTTAACGGAAAAAAAAAATGCCGAAAAACCTTTTTTGTTGTGGATAAAAAAAAACAGACGACATGCGTTGAACAGATGTCAAAATTTGTTGAAAAATGCACCCCAACCCTTCCTAGACTTAACCTCTTTTTCGAACGTAACACAAAATTGATACAATAATAGTTAATAAAAATGAACACGCTACCCCCCTTGTCGAAATGATTGGATTCCTCTGTATCCTTGGAAAAAAAAATTATGAATTGTATGTGCGTTTAAAACTCAGTAAATTTAAAAAATAAGTTATTCCAAAATTCGCTTGAAGATCAAACAGAACTAATGCTTTTAATTTAAATGTTTAGCTTCGTTTTTGAAACATGGTAATTCATGTGTAACGAATAAACCATATTTTAAATCAGTTAATTTATAATATATATATATATATATATATATATATATATATATATATATATATATGTGTGTGTGTGTGTGTGTGTGTGTCTGGTCTGTGTGTGTTTATATGAAATTTTGGGGATTACATAGAGACGGGATTCGAGGCGAAGCTAGCTGAAATTGCTAAATGTAACCTACGTTTAATTAGTTCTATGCTAACAGTGTCTTCTCTCCCACTTCTCGCCTACGGTGCACTCTTTGAGCTTCTTGCTTTCCTGTCAACTACAATCTACAAATATGTCAATGCAACGTCAATTGTCACCTATCACCTTGAAGCCTATTCTTTCTCCTCAGAAAAGTTTTCTTTACTCTATTGTCTTTCATCTTCAGTAACCCACTGCATCTTAGTGGATTTATCGCCTTGGTGGGAAATGATTACAAAAAGAACTTAGGTTGCTGGCTCGTTTAAATGAAAGAAAACACTGATACAATGATGTGAGTCCAAGATTTGTATAGAATATATGAATTTATGGGTACACAAACTGAATTATGTAATGAAAAAGTTTACGCCTCACCCCGTCTTCGAGAATAAAAAATATTGAATTATTCATTGAATATAGCTTATATTTTATCTACACTTGATTTCTTAAACATAGATTAGTTAAATATATGTCTTTATGAGTTAATTTCTAATTTTCATATATATATATATATATATATATATTGCAGTTTTTACTTTCTTTTTTGAGCGTTTGGGTGTACCAGTGTGTGCAAAAATTATCTTGAATTTAGTTAGTTACATTTTTTTTGTTTTGCTAGCAATTTCGTGGTTCCGTATTTTTGACCGGGTCGTAATTCATTAACACAGAAGCCTTCTAATACGTTGCCGTCATTATATTTTAATGCAAGATACGGTCACAAATTTGTGGCCTTAAATTAAAAGGACGTGACTTGCCTTAAAAATAAACAGAGAAAGAGAGAAAAGACATATCAGTAATCCACACGCAGCTACAACTTTCTTACAGTGAAATGTAGGCGCTGATTATTCGTAATTTTTTTTATTAGCTGTTTTAAAAAAAGATCTAAATAAATTCACCTTGATCCGCACTTTCTCTCTCTCTCTCTTTGTTAAGCATGAGTGTACCATTCATCTCTCCGTCAAAACATCAAATGAAACTTTTATATCTAATTCATTCTTAACCCTTTGAACACTGCGTTTTTTGAACAATTTCAACTCTTCTGCATGATATCCTGAGTCAAAATTCACAAATAATTGGTATGTAATGTTTCACGGTAGATATAAAAATAGTTACAAAAAAAATATAAGCATTATATTTAGCAGGGAGAGAGTATGATTGCTTGCCTTCACTTTATCGCCAGAATTCTTTCTTTGTGTGACAGTCAACCCAGCAGGTGCTGCATATCTTGATTCACAAGAAGCGTTGGCATGTGCAGCGGACTGAAGACTTCATAGCCTTGACAGGATAGTCTTTGTAGACCATAATTAGGTTTTTCTGCTTGGGTTTATTGTATTTATAAGAGCACACAGCACAGAGGTTGTTAGTGGAGGCATCTTCTGGTATCTCTGGGAAGTGAAGGCCGACATTTCGTAGGCGTTCCAGGGCATAAGCTTTGATTGACTGCCTGAGCACTGCAGCTGGTCGAAATGCATCCATACAGTATTGATCTGGGAACTTTCCGAAGGTGAGGGACATGGCTTGCTGGGGCAAAATTGCCTGGAACAACACAATAGCAAAACACGACGCAAGTGTTTACCCACGGTTCAACCGGTGGTTGGGCGTTAAGTCACGTTTTTCTCTACAACCAGTAAGGCGGTGGTCAGGGCTGAAGGAGTTAAAGATGCGAGAAAAACGATCTGATTGTTTTTATCGCTCCAAGAAGCGTTTGAATCCTTCTATCTTGCTTCATCTTTTCAAGAGCCAACTTCGGCAATACCTGGGCTGGAGGCACTCTTCATTTTTCCAGCCTTGATAGCGTTCAGAAGCATTTATTCGTCTTTCTGAGGAAAGCTTAGTTCATTACTGTAGCCTCGCAACGTTGCAAGCCTGTTACTATTTCCACGGCAAATGTTTAGCTGGGTTCCATTCTCTAGTTTCACCAGTCCAGACCTTCACAGCTCGTACGAGCAGAGTCGAATGCATCCTGATTTTCTCTGTGTTTCATATTTAAGTAGAAAATTTCACTTTTACTCAAGAACTAACTCTTAGAGCAACAGACTCCCTAGAGAATCCTTCTCTGAACACCTCAATCTCGACATCTTCAGCTCAAAGGTCAATCGTTATCTTTCGTCCATATTTTCACAATCTTCACTTCCTACCACCTCATATCACACACCATTTGTAAAAATCTATACCGATGACATGACGATATACGGGTACACCTCTAAAAGTCTTTACACGCGGAGATTGGCAGCTGACCTCTTTTCCGATCTAGCACTAACTTTTCAGCGGGGAAAAACTGGCTGGTTACATAGACGAGGCTCTGCCAAAGGGCAGAGTCTCGTCTCGGGAAACTGACTCCGTTTTGACGTCGTCTATAGGGAATTTTTGCCAGAGCCTACGGGCTCGGATGCCGCACTTTAAAACTCGGCCTTGTGCCACATCTTGCTGCATGGGGTAGTGGGTAAATAATTACATTCAATGCCCCCAAATCCAAACTGGTTACGTTTCATCACCACGAATCAAACCCCGAACTGCCGCTAGTCACGATGAACGGATGTCTCCTCGAGAAGACACTGTGCTTTGAGAGAATATTAGGCCTTAAAATCACACCTGACCTGAAGTGGAACTCGTACATACGATCCATATCTAAAGATGCAGGTAAAATGATCGGTTCTTGTATTGCTCCAGTAAGTACTTGACCCCTTCTGCTATCCTCTACCTTTGTAAGAGACAGATCAGGCTGAAAATGGAATATTTTTGCCATATTTGTGTGGGGGCTGCCTAAGCCTCACTTTCCAGTCTTGATAGAGTTCGAAAGCATCTCAGAGTCCTTGTGGGTGACGAATGATTTTCCACCTTCTAACCTCTCTCTCACAGACGGAATATGGCAAATCTCTCACTGTTCTGTTGATACTTCCATGGAAAGAATTCGGACGAACTACATTCCTTGTTTCTGCCAGGTCTAACCTTTATGGCTAGGATCCCAGTGTCACTTATATTGTAACAAACCACACATTTCCTAATTATTCCATTGGTGAAAAGTAAGTTACGCTCAAACAACTTCTCGCGAACCATTGCTCTGTGGAACAGACTCCTAAGATAGCGCTTCCTTGATCTGCAATTTTAACCTGTAAAAGTCTAGAATTAACCTCCTATCCGTATAAACTAGCCCTTAACGTAATCCCTACCTCGAGTGACTCCTGGGTCCTCCTGTATATAGTGAAACTTACTGCATCTCGCTAAAAAAAAATCATTCATCACTACTATTTCGACAATGACCTGCTTGACTTGCTTTTCGACCTTGTACTGGGTGAAATTTTATAAAAAGAATACTCAGTGTTATGTTTGTTACGTAACGTTTATTCAAGATAACTAGCGAGATTATTAATGTCAAGGGAACACAATATGTTTCGGTCTCAATTCTAACTCTTTTTGGCATTTTAATTTGACCTTTATACTAATGCTTTGGGGACAGGCATGAACCCAAAGAATGCTGGTACTCTATGGCGTCGTTAGTTATTTTGATGCAAATCTCACAGTAGAATCTGCATTCAGGTCATGGATTCCTTCTTTTAACTTAGTCTCTTATTTGATGAGGAGATGGGCGCTACCAATTTGTTTCCTTTGCCTGAGAAATACTTGGTAGGACTTAGAATGGCACTCCTCAATCAGTAGACTAATCAGGCAATAAAACAGTAGTACAGTACCATGAGAAAATGAGAGCGATCCTGAACAGATATTCGCCATTAAAATCAAATAAAACCCTATAATATAGTATAAATATATAAAAAAGATGTGATAGATTAGCAATGCATTATGTCGTGTGCAGTCAGTTTGATGCTTCAAGCGATGGGCCGGCATTAAAAGGTAGTAAAATGTTTATAATGACAAAAACTCCAACACTAAAAGGAAAAAACAGTTAATGATCAAAAGCATAAATAAATGACAAGTCTCCAACTCGTAAGCATAAAGCAAACATAACCTGGTAGATATATAACCAATAGAACTTTAATTGGAACTCTGTTACGACTGCGATCTTCTTCTTCTTCTTCTTCTTCTTCTTCTTCTTCTTATTTTTCGTCCTCTTCTTATTCTACTACTACTAGTACTACTACTACTACTACCACTTCCTATTTCTTCTTTTTCCGCTCCCGCTTCTTCTTCTTTATCCTCCTATTCTTTTTCTTCTTTTGCTTCCTCTTCACCCTCCTACTCCTCCTCTTGTTGTTGCTGTTGTTGTTGTTGTTGTTCTTCTTCTTCTTCTTCTTCCGCTTCCGCACCCTTTTCTTCTTCTTCTTTATCCTCCTTTTCTTCTTCTGCTTCCTCTTCATCCTCCTTCTCCTCTTCTTCTTCTTCTTCTTCTTCTTGTTTCCTTTCTTCTTCTTCTTCTTCTTCTTCTTCTTCTTCTTCTTCTTCCGCTTTTTTTTCCTTTTTCTTCTTCTTCTTCTTCTTCTTCTTCTTCTTCTTCTTCTTCCGCTTCCGCCCCTTTTTTCTTCTTCTTCTTCTTCTTCTTCTTCTTCTTCTGCTTCCACTTCATCCTCCTTCTCCTCTTCTTCTTCTTCTTCTTCCGCTTCCGCCCCCTTTTTTCTTCTTCTTCTTCTTCTTCTTCTTCTTCTTCTTCCGCTTCCGCCCCCTTTTCTTCTTCTTCTTCTTCTTCTTCTGCTTCCTCTTCATCCTCCTTCTCCTCTTCTTCTTATTCTTTACCCCCCCTCCTCCTCCTCCTCTTCTTCTTCTTCCACAAGCTCGTTATGCGTTGTTTTCCTCTGTTTCTGTTCTGTGAAGACAAATTGAAAAGAACAATTGATGCTAATTATATATATATATATATATATATATATATATATATATAGATAGATAGATAGATAGATAGATAGATAGATAGATAGATTTAAGTTATGAAAAACTTGGTAGGCCGTATGGTTAGCCCAAAGGAGGATAAAATCCTGAGAACTCAATGTAAATCCAGAGCTAATAATTTTAAGAAAAACAGACCACTTTAAGGTTCCATTATAATAATTTATTTCACCAGAGCCATTTTAAGGGGCGCTGGATCATCAGATAACACTTCTAAAAAATGAAACGAGAGATGAAATGAAAAGTGTGAATTTTCATTTCATGTTTCTTTTCAATTTTTTTTCAATGGAAGTGTTATATGATGATCCAGCGTCCCTTTTAAACGACTCTGGTGAATTAAATTATTATAATAGAACCTAAATTGGTCTGGTCTGTTTTTATTTATATATATATATATATATATATATATATATATATATATATATATATATATGTTTAAAAATTTATATCAAGTGCATGTTACAAAATCACTACAAAATTTGCAATTTTGTTTCGACACTTCAGATTCTTACGACAAATGGTGTCAAGATGGCTAAACGACTTATCTGAAAGTCTGGAAAAAAGAAAATCAGTTAGTTTAGTGCTTCTAAAATATTAAACATTTTGTCTCTATATTTCTGAGATGAGGTATTATGTACATTATTTACATTATTCGGACTATTGTCCTCATCTTTGTCACCACATTTATTACAACGTTTCGGCCGTTGTACGCTCTGGCCTTCTTCAGGTGGTTGGAATGTCGAACTGAACCGTATTTCGTTCACTGGGGTAGACTGTTCTAGTTCCACGTGTCATGTTCAATGGATGTCAGTTATCTCCTGTTAATTCCCCTCTTCAAGTTCCCCACTGCCTTAACCGGTTATTAAACTCACACTCTTTGTGTCTTGTCACTTGGATCTAACCAACGCCTTTATCCACTGTGCCATGTGTCTTCACAGACACATGGCACAGTGGATAAAGAGGATTAACATAGTGGATAAAGTGGATTAACAGGAGATAACTGATAACTGACATCCATTAAATATGGCACGTGGAACTAGAACAGTTTACCCCAGTGAGCGAAATAAAGGGTTCAGTTCGACATTCCAACCACCTGAAGAAAGCCGGAGCGTACAACGAGCGAAACGTTGTAATAAATATGGCGACAAAGATGAGGACAATAGTCCGAATAATGTAAATAATTAAACATTTTGTGGAATGGACTGTTATCCCATGGTATTATTTGATGTGAAAAATTTTGCTGTTATACCGATATATATATATATATATATATATATATATATATATATAAATTATTCCACCTAAGGTGTTGCTGGTCTGTGGGTTACTGCTCTATGTTTCATTAGATCCTTGTGAGTTCAAGGAATCAACTTTTAAAAACAGTGGTTTTTTTCTATTAGCATACCTATTCGCTAAATTGTTTCCGAAATTCAATAAATCTAATTTTATTGATTGATTTGGTTTTTACGGTTTATCAACCCTTAGCAGGCTTTCTAAACCCAGAAAATATTCTTTGATTGTAACAATTTTGGGAGATAATAATGATTTACTGATACAAGTCCTACTAATTAACCCATAGCAAAGGTGGAAAATAGACGGAGCCATACGTCTTGCTATTTCCCTCTGTCCCTCTTACCTTCAACGTGTCCCGTGAGTGTCAAATTTTTCAAGCTCTCTTTCCTCCTACCCTAGAAATTTCTGATTCTAAGTATAAATGTCCTTTTCGTTTCCATTTTTTCTAAAACTTCTGTCCATGTTATATTGAGCAGCTTTTTGTAGAACCACATTTATGTTGCTTCAAGTCTGTTCTTCATTTCTGAGGAGATTGTCCAGTATAGAACCGATACTATATAACAATTCAGTATTTTTTCTTTGCTCACGTGTTCATAGTATTCTCGGCATCCTTCGATTGAACCATGTTTCTGTTGCTTAAAGTCTCGTCTCCATATTTGATAGGATTATTCAGCATTCTCTGCCATGTAGGATGGCCGATATTACATAGTAGTTCAATATTGTTTTCTTTGTTTCTGTTTCATAATACGTTGCTTAGCTTTTGGAAGGCATCTTTCGCTATCCCAATGCGCCTTCGGATTTTGGTGTCTCACTTTCCGCCCTCTGTTAAAACGTTTCCCAGATATTTAAATTGTTTACAATTGTGTTACGTTTATTTAAAATCTCACCTCTCCATGTATTCTTCAAATATTGTAGCATATCTCGTGAGAACATATTTTGTTAAGATACTCAGAGATAGAACGGTCGGGTCACGCCCTTTAGTCAAAAGAAATTAATACAAAATAAATACGAGCAGTCTCCAATGAAATTCCAACTTGGTTTACCGATTCCATTTTCCATGCTGACAATCGTTAAGACACTCCGAAGTTAAACTTTGAAATTTCATAGTAGGAAAACCGGACAAATATTAATTTTTCCACAGAAGATTCCTTTAGAGCATCGTCAAAGAACCAGCATTCATTTTCGGGGCTGTAATATAGGACCTTCTTTTTGCATCATGATGTGCAAGATGGCTACACACCGTGTACGTATTTTTATGGTAACGTTTCTGATCGTATATCAAGCTACACTTTTCCTTGCTTGAATTTGAAGCGGGGATGTTTGCCAAAAAAAATTTCCTTGTCCCCCCACCCCATAAAAAAATTATTCTAGTGAAAGATTAAGATCAAGGCGTGAGCTGGAATGATTATAGATTTCGTGAGATATTCGCCTCGCGTATTTTATTTTGTTAAATATTTGTTGTCATCAATCATTCCAGAGAATATCTGTGTTGGCAAGAATAGAACAAATCATGAGGTCATATCAGTTTAATATCCAGTCACACGCTGACGCTGACACTCGAAATAACCAATCAGAACTGCCCCCCCCACCAAAAAAAAAAAGAAAAAAGAAATTAGTAGCGGGGGCGTTGAGGAAGAAAATAATTCCTAAGGCTGAGTTATGTCCATTAATTGTTCATCTTTTAGGTTTATGTTCATATCACGTTCAAATATCGGTTCCCTTACGATCACCGAAGCAACATCGAGCCTGGTCAGTACCTCGATGGGACACTGCTTTGGAATATCAGGTGCTGTATGCTCGAATGTGCGGGTGGTGTAATGGATAACAGATCGAAATTGGAAATCGAAGTGTCGAGTTCCAATTCCAGTCCAATTGCGAAAAGTATGAGTCCATCTATTTTTCCACAGCTATGGTCTAATTTGTAGCATTTGTATCCATAAATCATTATTATTAACAAAAAAAAAATTCTTAAAATCTAAAAAGAAAACCAATTCTTTCATGTAAGAGCCGATGGTACTGACAGCATAGTAATATTGTTGGAGAACGAGTTCGATTTTGTCGAGCCTTTTTCTCTAGTCATTTGACTTCTTTTTCTCTTCTGCTGGCTTCGAAGTTTTTCCTTCAAAAATGATGGAACATTAACAGTTGGTAAGGTCTTGTGCATATCCTTCAAACGATTTAGTCTCAAGTCCATCGGCTTTCAGTTTTGTTTTGAGTTGATCCTTGTATCTTCGAAGAGGGCAAAAACCCCTTAGTCTTTTCCCTGGAGTGAGCTTACTGGATAAGACTACGTGGAAACCTTGACTCTTCAATTCGTGCGATATGCACTGCCCATCGAAGACAATGTTTAATGATCAATGATTCGATTCTTTGACTGTTGGCTCTTTCCAGAACTTTGTTATCAGTCACATAGTAATTCCACTAAATGTTCAAAATTGAACGAAGCTTTTACTGGTGAAAGGGTTCAAATTTTGGGATGTCGCGACGATACATATATATATATATATATATATATATATATATATATAATATCATCCACAGACAGACTGTTTCGCTATTTCACAGCTCATCAGTGTGGCTAGACATCCGGTTGCCTCTAGCTAGGATCGAAACCCGACTGAATTAGTGTCAGTCGGAGATTCTAACCATTAAGCCGTCGGCGCAATGAATTTTCCTAACACACGAAAAGACAAGAACGCTCAGAAATTAAAAACGTTAACATGCCTAGAGAATAAACCGGAAATAAATAGCAACAAATAGCTATAATTAAAAGAAAAAAAGGAAAAGGAAAAAAAAAAGAGAAAAAGTTAAGGAGCGAGTGTAAAGTGGGGAAAAAAAAGTGACGAAAAGGACAAATAATCACGACACCGTACACGTACGCACATCGGCGCCGATGGGCGCATGCGCGCGGACGCACAGACGGGCGCATGGCCGCACGTGCGCAAACGCAGGCACACACACAAACAATACGAAAAAAACCTACAAAATTTTAAGTGCTTAAAAAAAAAAAAGTCGAGAAATATAACCAGTCAATCGTTGATAAGCCCTGAAGAGTGGACAAGACGGGTCCGTCTACGAAACTCTGGAGTCGGGATGCTGAAGGTAACATCAATCAGCTAAGTGACAAACTTTTACTTATATTAATTCTCTTCTCTCTCTCTCTCTCTCTCTCTCTCTCTCTCTCTCTCGCGACCTTGGTTTCGACGTTAGGGTCTCATCGGTCGATTTTTTTATCAACTGACCGCCTAAGGCCTTTTATTAAAAAAAAAAAAAAATAAATAAAATAAAAATCGTAAGATGGTCAGTTGATAAGAAATCGGCCGATGTCACTGTAAAGATCGAAACCAAGGTCGCATATTCAACTGACCTCTATTGAGCACTTTTTTTTTACTACTGCTTCCTGGTCTGATTCAATTCTGACCGTTAACCTTTTATACACACACACACACACACACACACACACACATATATATATATATATATATATATATATATATATATATATATATATATATATATGGTTTTTATTTCCCACCGATGTAATGTAGTTTCCATGTGCTTTTTCTATAAATATTTTCATGTTAATTGCTCAGGTGAACTTTCCTATTTGGTACTTAAACTTATAAATTTAAGCGCGGTACATGAAGTGGAAAGATTATATTGAATCAATTACTAGATCTACTGCTAGGAAAGTTGCATCACTGTATTCTGCTTTAACTTTCCAGATTCTTCTTACATATTTATAAGTCTACCATTCTTCCTTGATTTGAATATTGCTGCCACATATGGTCTAGTGCTCTTGCTATCTATTTAAAGATTCTTGATAAAATCCAATGAAATGATCTGCAAAGTTGCTGGTCCTGACCTGGCATCTCGGCTTCAGTCATATTCCCACCGCCGTAACATAGTTTCCCTGTGCTTCTTCTATAAATAATATAGTGCTAACTATTCTGATGAACTTTCTTCTTTGGTAATTAGACTTTATAAATTTAAGCGCGGTACTAGATTTACAGCTAGGTCTAATTATTTTACAGTTGAAATACCTGCATATAACCGGAAGTACTAACAGTCTCTTTTCTCGCGCATCTCACTTCCGGCTCCATGCTTTCCGGCCAATATTGTTCTTCAAAACTCTAAATTCAGTGTTAATCTTTAGGTTTTGTCTTTTCAATACCTGTTCTTTTATTGTCCTTTTTTTTCTTCATAATCTTTCTCTTTGTCTCATATTCTTTCGCACTCAGTAACCTCTTGCATCTTCAGGGTTTTATCGATTTGATGGTGATGAAAAAAATACTTTTAAACAATTAAGGGAATACAGGATCCATTTCTGTCGGAAGGAAATCCCGATCTCTTATCCGGTTTAAATTAATTGGATTAAAAATAAAGGGAGATGTCTACTGAATCACGCGTACCCAAACACAGACTTGATTCTATAGAAGTTAATAAAAGTATAAATTAACAAAATGTCTATGAAATATTTATCAATTTAATAAATCGTATCTGATTTTAAGAAAAAAAATTCCACTCAATTTCTGTGTGTGTGTTTTATACATCCGCACGCATAAAAATTTCAGTTTGACCGTTTATATGACGTCGCTTTGAGTTATTTGAAATTGGTTTTATCGTCGAAATTAAAAACAAGTTGCATAACGATACAGAGGACAATCCTTGAAAACGAATGAAGCAATATTCGAAAATACTCGGGGAAGAATAACTTTAAAGGAAAAGTTAATACGAATTTGGGCAAATTTACCGATAACAGAAAAGAGACTTAGAAATTTGAAGACAAATTTTACATATTATTTAACAAAACATGTATGAGAGAATTTTGCTGCCGAAATACACTTCATATATATATATATATATATATATATATATATATATATATATATATATATAGAGAGAGAGAGAGAGAGAGAGAGAGAGATTGGTCACATATGGAAAAAGCATTAACGTCTTATTATGAGATTACTGGACGTGAAACATAATGAATGTTTTTGCCATTCACCATTCGGAAACAAGTAAAGGGTCACTTGGAGTTGTTAAAGATAATGTGACGAAAGGTTTCAAATGATTTTGAATATATATATATATATATATATATATATATATATATATATATATATATATATATATATATATATATATATATATATATATAAATATATGGATATAGATCCGACAGTATGAAGAAAAATATACTGAAAAAAAAAAAAAATCCTAATATGCGATTATGCTGTTTTAATGTTGACATTAAGACAGCGTAATCGCATATTAGAATTTTTGTTTTGTTTTTTCAGTATATTTTTCTTCATATATATATATATATATATGTGATAGAAATTAGGGGGGGTTGAGATAATTATAATGAAGTAATTCAACGAGTCTAGAAGAAACCTCAAGAGAATGCAGAAAGCGCTGGACGGCCGTTTCGTCCTATAGTTGGGACTACTCAGCAGTGCGCATCAACTACCGAGAATTGAAACCCGGACACTTACGTTATCAGACAAACGTCATACCAACTGTACCAACGGGCCTCGGTGACGAGCAGGTAGCGAATCAGACTCGATCACATATTCGGTGGTAGAATTCATTCGAGTTTCTCTTTTACACATAGGACTGTGCCCTCACGAGCCACGACTACTGTCACCAAGCCTCTCCGTATTAGAAAACGGTTCAAACACGGATATACTAGTGATTGTAATTAGAAGGATTTGAGATAATTATAATTAAGTAATTCAGAAGTCTAGAAGAAAGAGTTGAACAGTTGGTATGACGTTTTTTATGATAGGTCCTAATCTGCCATTCGTCTACAGTCACTTTCTTACAGACGTGCCATGGCTTCCCTCTGTCTTTTCTACAAGTGCTTTCACGGCAACTGTTCCGACGAGCTACTTTCGCTGGTTCCCAAACTGCATGAATTTAAACGAGCTACTAGGTTAGTATCTCAGTCCCACCTTTTCGCTGTTGAAATGGTTAAATGTAGCCGTCTCTTCTACTCCAACATCTTCTTCTCTCGCACTTCCCGTCTGTGGAACTCCCTTCTTGTTACTTGCTTCCCTGATAACTATAATCTTCAAATATTTAAGAGCAATGTCAATCGACATCTTCTGATACCTTGATCCTGTTCTCCCTACTGTCCTTCTCTTTATCCTCTTCCCAAACATGTCTCTTTATTCTTGTTCTTAACCCTCTCTAACATCTTTTGTGCTAGTGGCACCACCGACTTGCTTGGGATGAATGCTTGATATATATATATATATTAACCAATACTTCTGGCTCTTCTATTGCAGAACATGTAATAAATAGCAGGAATTGTGTTTTTTGAATTTTAGTGCATTTTATTTTGTGATTTTATCTAGGTCCCAATATATCCATCACGTCAAGGTTCTGAGTCCTTGTATATCAGATCCCGTGGGCCTTCCCTCTCTAAAAGAGGGAATGCTTACTGGGTCTGAATGTTATTGGAAAGATTAGCTTTCTTGAAATTCATTTTTTATCCATTCGTTATCATTAATATGAATTAAATTTACACGCTTATTTTTATATCCCAGAAATAAACTTGATAAACGGTTGGGATGAAACCGGTTGTTCTTTTTTAGCTTTTTAAAAATGCCATATAAAGTTTGCTTATACCTAACTATCGTTAAATTTTTTGATCAATTATATATAATATATATATATATATATATATATATATATATATATATATATATGAAGATATATAGAAAATAGGAAATAGGAACTGGTTAGGTAAATAGTCCAAAGTTCCTTAGTATTTTAGTTATTATTTTAAAAAATAGTGCTCGATACAAAAAGTAGAGCATAAATATAATTATTTATTTAAAAATATGATTCCAAATCGCTACATAAGAGGTCTCATGTTACAACACCTTGAAAGTATCTCTATACCGCTACTTATCATTAACACCCTACACTCGCCTACCCATTTTTGTACAATTCGCCCCTAGCTGTTACCATGGTGATTTTGATTTCAATTTTTAAAACAAGTAAATTTCAGATATACGTTATTCCAACAAAATTTCGCTTGAAGATGGAACGGAGCCCATTTTACTTTCAACTCAATTTAATTTAAAGGATTATATTGATTTTCGGCTCTTGTTTTGAAACATGAGACCTCTTATGTAAAGATTTGGAATCATATTTTTTTAAATAAATATATATATATATATATATATATATATACATACATATATATATATATATATATATATATATATATATATATATATATATATATATATATATTATATTCTCAAATTCTGTTCCCTTCCTATTATTTACAATTTTATAATTCTGGGAATGTATTTATTTTTGTTCACATCAATATTTTGAGAGCGTAATACTTTTATGGTATCATTTATTTTCGGTAAACATTTTATGACCTTTAACGGAAATTTAGTAAACAAATAATACATTTTATGTTAATAAAATATATCTAGGTATCTATAAGGGTGGATCGTTAGGACCTTTCCAGCGAAGCGGTCGACCCTGCTTTACTCAGGGGAATTCAGATGCGGAACATGACTGGATTACGGCTTACATCCAAATCTTTCACTTGGCTCCAAGAAGTCGCATGGGGCACTGTCACTACCACACACCGGTCAACGGCATCAACCGGGCGGCTAAAACCGTGTGAGGGTAGTTGGAAGGGTTACTCGATCCGACCTGCCTTTGACAAGCGGCCATCGGCCAGTCGCCAGCCTGGACGTACAAGCTGCGCTTTAGAAGTCAACGGATTTACCAGTGGGCGGAAGAATTTCTGAGAGACAGTACAGGGTAGCGTCAATATAAACTGTGCAAAAGCAAGCGGCAAGCCATCGCACTATTCTGCCTTGAGTGTCACCATGAATAACAATTGTGAGACGTAGGGGAGTGGTTACCGAAGCGGCGGCGCAAAATGCCCTAACTGAATGAATGAATGAATGAAAATCTATTATATTTTATTGTATTTCTCAAGTACATTTTTCGGTATTAAATATTTCACTTGTTACATTCTTGCCAGTACACCAAGGGATAAACAAATAAGGTGAATATATTTTTGATTCCCCTGAAGGGTACAATATCTATATCTCATCCTCTTCAGTATCTATCTATCTATCTATCTATCTATCTATCTATCTATCTCAGTTTGTTCATAACCACATAGACGTCTGTCTGTCTCCATTCTGTCAGTAACAATCGCTTTAATTTCTGGATTTGTTTTACAATCCCAAAAAGAAAATACCGAAAGAATGTGGGAACTTTCGAATATTTCATCCAATATTTCATCCAATAATTACACACTTTGGACTTTGATCTTCAACGCTTCCCTCTCCCAACAATTTTCTTTGTCAGGGCAGAAAATAACCAACGACGATATATATATATATATACACGACAAATTGTGAAATCTCGACCTTGATATGTTTCGCTGATGATCTGGCTCCATCAGGGACATGTTTTTATTTCATAAGATTGAAATAGACATTGGCAAGGCAAATGGTCATTCCATTTAAGGAATATACTTGATTTTTCATTCAGTTTAACTCAATCGTTATTAAAATTCAACTCAGATTTTAATTCACGCATATACACACACCTACACACACACCTACACACACACATATGTATATCATAACATAAATATTTAAACTCTCTACAACTCATTTTTTAATTTTATAATTTATATATATATATATATATATATATATATATATATATATATATATATATATCTTCTTAATATTAAATTGTACTTAATTGTAGTTCTTCGTTTCTCCCTGTTTGACGAACACTCATGATTCACATTAATATTTCACCAGGCACCAACAATTCTTCTGATGAAGGGGTTGGTCGAAACATGTTTCCTTTTTTGGAAAAAAATATGCGGTTTCCTCTGTTTAAAACTATTTACAAGTTCTTTGATGTCAGACATTTATTTAAATCTGTCTCTCTCTCTCTCTCTATATATATATATATATACAGTGTAACCTGATATAAGAGAGATTTTCTCTGGTCCCAAAGTGTTCCCATACTTACCTAAACAAAATAGACCAAACCGGATATAAGAAAAACCTGATATAAGAGACTTCTTCTCCGGTCCCGACAAACTCTCTTATATCCAAATTTACCTATATATATATATATATATATATATATATATATATATATATATATAGAGAGAGAGAGAGAGAGAGAGAGAGAGAGAGAGTCCGCCAAAAAATTTATACACTCTTCAGGAAAGGAAAAACTTGTATAGATATTGTAATACTAAAATCATTCAGATATCACGAGATTAAGACAAGTTATCTTTAGACTCTACAATCACAAGAGATACTCAAAATGGTGGCCTTTAACCTATACTGAACTATTAGCATCTCCAAGAAAATAAAACTTCAGAGGAGATTTAATATTTTATATAAAAAAAAAAACAATGATAGACAAAGGATAAATAAAAAATCTACACTTGAAATTAAAAAGAATAATGTGTATGCAGCTATCTATATGAATCAGTTTTAATATTTTATATTAGGATTCACTGTTATTATCTACCAACGGATTCCCTGTATATATATTGTCATGGGTCCTTACCTATAACTACAGAATGAACTCTTCCTAACACTATGTATACTACGCCTCTCAAGAGAGAGGGACGAATCGAGCCGAGCTTCTCGGCTTGACGGTCGAACTCTCTGCCTCTGAGCAGAGAGGAAACCGGACGAGGCTCCGCCGAAGGGCAGAGTCTAGTTCGGGGAGGTTGACCAAGCCGATCCCGTTTATACGGGTTCTACGGGCATTTTTTGGCCGAGCCTACGGGCTCGGGAAACCCACGTTAAACTCGGCCTTGTGCCACATGCAACCCTCGTGTGGGGCGGGCTAGATGCCGAATCGAGTCGAGCTGATAGTAGTTCACTCCAAACCAGACTAACACCTTCCACATCGTGTATTATTATTTCGTGTAATATACCTTCGTTATTTCTACTCTTGTGTTCGTGTTGTTCTTCCTTGGTCATAACCTGGACCATAACACATGTAAACTGAGTTCAAATTAATTAAAATCTAAATTCTATGACGATACAGTTAAACCGACGAAGTCCTGAATCGAACATGCAGTAATTCTACTCATGATAGATATAGTCTCGTGTTATTAGTTATGTTTGAGTAGAAAGAATGTCTAATCTTCTCTCCATTATTATCGAAACATTGACTCGTTTATTCGCTATGAGTAGAACGTCTGCTCATGGAACAGTGACAAAAAGTGGGTCGGAAAGGTGTAGTGCTTTCTAGACGTACGTTTGCCGCACTGAATTAATTGTATTCTCAATCGATGTTCTCATATGAGTAAATCCTTTTTCAGTCAACCTTTTCTTTCCTGTGTTTTCCTTACAGTTTTTCTAACCGGTAACTATGAACGTTATACGAACTAATTTTACAATATATTACTTACTTGAGAAATGGCAAAACTTCTCCAAGACCGGCGCCGGATTACTTTCCAATATCAGCTTGTAGATGCAGTAATAAAACTACAAAGAAATCTGTAGGAACGTATCTGCAAACATTTTCAAAGTAGACTTTTGTGGTTTATAAATGTGAGAACTTCCTGTCCATATATAGGATCAGGCGCATGTCATTTTCAATGAAGTTCAGATTAATTTGGGGGTACACATAATAACAGGGAAAGACAAAAATATAGGAATATTTATGTTTGTATATACGTGGATATATTTGTAAAATTGTAGATTGATGATAATGTCATAGATAAAGATATATTTTCCAATTCAGTGTGATTTCCTGGACATTGTAGTTCTCATGTTCCGGTCACAGCCTTTTAGTTGGGAGAGGAAAAAAAATGAAATGTTCAAGACTATAGTTGATAGAATACATGAGATCTTGGCATTTTTTCTTTAGGAATATAAGGTTCAAAGAACTCACCATCGCAATGAGTTTGTGTTTACTTGAATGTCATTGGTTACACAGGAAGCAAAAAAAAAAAAAATGAGTTAGGGTCAGTACAACATATAAACAATTTTTTAGTCTTTTTCTTTCATACTGTTTGAGACAAGAAATTTTCATTAAAGTCGATATATAAATTTATACACACATGACGTATACACACAGTTATATACATACACACACACACACATATATGTATATATATAAATATATATAATTGTCTATTTGGGCAGCAGTACCTCTTTTACACAAGTTTCATTACTGCGGTTAAGTTTTCCAATTAATTTTTCTTGTGTTTTTATAGTCCAAATTCCAGCAAACCAATGACGTATACACACACACACACACACACACACAAATATATATATATATATATATATATATATATATATATATATATATATATATATATATATATATAAAAAAAGGCTTAAACACTCTGTCTTGGACATTGAGTTCTACCTGGATTCTATCCTCTTGGAATTTTTTTTTATACAAAAATATATATGAATGTGCATGCATGTATGTAAATATATTTATATATTTTGCATATGTATGTGTATATTTACCACTAATATTATCTATCTATCTATCTATATATATATATATATATATATATATATATATATTTGTCTATTTGGGCAGCAATACCTCTTTTAGACAAGTTTCTTTAAAAACGACTGACAAGTTACTGTGGTTAAGTTTTCTATTTAATTTTTCTTGTGTTCGTATAATTCAAATTCCAGCGAACCAATATTATGTATGAATACACGTCCCTTAAGGAACTGTGTTCCTGAGCAAAATAAATTCATGAATAATTATATTGGATATACCACTACATGCCTATCTAGAAGACTCACGTTACATCTCCCTGATCATAACTGAATTAGGTCTCGCTTAAACATACACGGAGACCTACCAGATTCCATTTGTAGACAATACAAATAGGTTCGTCCACATGTAAAAAAAAGGCTAAAAATAAAAGAAAAATATTAATAAAAAAGAAGGAAACAACACTCAATGACACCAACTATTAACACGGCCATAATTTGCTGACCGTGTTTGGAAAATAAAAACATTCGTATAACTTTCGATACGTATATAAAAAATCTATATAATCAGTTAGCAGCAAAAATAAAATCATCCTTGATAATGGCTAAAAGGATAGCCGAAAGCGCTTGGACATAGTGGACATTCGTACAATGTTTTATGTCCAAAAACAAACAAAAAAATATCAGAAAACTAGAAAAATTAAATAATGATTAATCGCAGTACTTTCTCAGCCGTTTTTAACGAAACTTATATCTATATACATATAAGTTAAAAATACTTATGTATTGGATTTCGAGCTTCACAGCGTCACCGTTCGTCAAACTGGGATAAATCTATTGGATTTATTAATAATATACAGGGTGATTGAAAATTAACTTCCTATTTTATGTATAATAAACTCTCCCATTTAACTATAATTTTTACAAGACGGGAGAGTCCGTTATACAAAAAACAGTTATCTTATCCATCTAAATATGCCACATAAAAACACCACTTTTTGATGTCAAACAAATTATTAATTATCGTTTTTTTTTATGTAGCGTATTCAATTATGTCATTGTTAATAAATTCATTAGTTTTATCGGACGGCGTTTTTATTAGATGTTCGGCTGGTACAATGGACGAGATATCGAAGAGTCAAGTTTAAATTCCAGTCGATTTCATTGCATTCACCTACGCGCAAATACACTTGCGAAAGGTATAGATCTATCTCTTCTCCCCCCCGACTATGGGGTAAATAGTGCGGCAGTCTGATCATTTTAGCCGTTGTTCGTAACCAACTCGGAAGTCAATGCGCAGCAACGGCATCCCGTAAAAAAACTACTACTTACTATTGACACCATGACAGCAATGTCTAGCGGGCTGAGAGCGGGGTGCGCCAAAACCTCTGAGTTTGGAATACACTGCTTGTCGACTACTCTGCCCTCGGGCAAGCAGGGACCCAGTCGAGGCTAAGCTGAAGAGCAGTCTCGTCAGGGGAGGTAGACAAACCGGAAACCGTGTATACGTAACCTACGGAAGTTTTTTTTTTCCTGAGCCTACGGGCTAGGAAAGACCCACGTAAAACCGTGTCACATCTCGCTCTGTGGGGAGCTCGGGTAAATACTGAGAGCAGTTACCCCTATAATCCTAAGGGAGTCTCCAAGACTTGAGTGAGTGAGTGGGTGAGAATGTGACGCTTAACGAGCGGT